AAAACTCTAGTTTTTATTGGAACTTTAGAAAAATGATTAACAAGTTTAAAATTCCATTACTAATTAAGAATCATGAATTACCTCTTGACATGAACTTTTCTTGAAATGAAATTTTTGCATCCACTAAAAGTTCCTAATAAGAACCCCGAATTACACTTTTGCAAATGAAAGTTTCCCATTGTATTCAATAAACCATATCCTCAGGAACATTGAAACCTATCTGTTCAGTTAATAAAATTCTCAAGTAAAAATTTGAATAATTATTTTTTACATAAGTAGATTTCCTCTGTAAGCATGCCCAATCTGAAAGTGTACTTCTGGAAAAACCCATAGCCGTTATTTACTTATAACAGCACATGAAACAACAAAACTTCAAAATGAAACCCACAAAGCATTGTAAATGAATCACAAAAGCAGTATATTCCAAAACAACAAACATAAACAAGAACCATGTAAAAGCAATACAAAACCAAGACTCACTCACTCTCTCATGCCATCATCATCATCATCAACAACATCCTCATCACTCAAGTCAAGGTCCGCAAGCAGCTCGTCTAACGGCACACTCGGCAAATCCTCACCATCCGTCATCGATGCCATTTCCGACGGCTGATATTCCTTATTCCGGTACAGTGACAGGTTAAACCTCAAATCAGGATTCTCCTCCAAATCCCTCAAAAACTGCTCATACTCCGTATCCATCTTCTCCGCATTATCCCGAACACCCCTCCCACTATTATCAACTTCCATATTCAGAGATCTAAGCTTCCAAGAACGAGGCTTGCCCTTCTTCCTCTGCCGTTTTTCCTCATAGCTCTTCTTTATCAGCACGACATCGGGAAGAACAAGACCCTTGTACTTATCCAACTCAATATCATTACTATTCGCTCCATACAAGTCGTAACCGAGAGCATAATCTCCCGGATTCAAGAGATGCCCCAAATGAGTCCTCACGTTGAAAATTGTATCGTTTTTGCCGAAATCCGAAACTCGGGCCACCTGGGCATCGGCCAAAACGTACTTCAAGCCACCAATACTAACCTCACCAGATACAGGCTCCACATCCAAGACTACATATTCAACGAGCTGCCTGCTCGAGAGCAAAGCCTTGAACGAAGACCTCCAGTACTGCTCTGCATCCAAGAAGCTCTGCCTGAGGGTAAAAGGGTCCAGCAAAGCTATGCTGTTGCTCACCTTGACGCATATCACGAGTGGCCCGAAATTTCCCAAACCGGCCGCAACTTTTGGCGGGAGGCAAATCAGGTCCTCCCGGCAAATGGGGCTGATCTCGACCGAGAAGGTGAATTTGTAATTATAATTATTGCTCTTAGAATCGTGCGAAACGAGCTGCTTGTCACTTCGGCTCCTGACAGGGGCAACCTTGCCCACAAACTCGACAAACTTCAACCCGTGGCTCCTTTTGTTAAAGAAAAAGTCAATCCCATGGTCCATTTGCTTTATCTTGATGGCGTTTTTAGCGGCATCATGTTTCAGTATAAGCTGCTCGAGATAGAAAAAGGTCCGCCTGTGGGAGACATGCTGCCTGAGCTGGACTGTGGCCACCCACTGGTCAGGGTTGGCCTGAACCCTCGAGCAAGACTCGCACAGCTGGTCCTGCACGACGTACTCGACTGTGAAGGCCTGCTGAAGGAAAACGTTCAGGACTTCTTTCTGGACAGTGAGCTTGACCTTGATCCTCTTGGAATGGGGCTCGGTCCAGACGAACTCGGAGTTGACCAATTTGACGGTGTTGCGGAGATTCTTGAGGCGGTTGAGGCAGAAAGTGAGGAGGTCTTTGGACTCGAGCTCGGCTTTGATCCACGTGCGGGGAGGCTGGAGATAGCTTTCGCAGTCGGGGCAGTGGATGATGATGACGTGTTTTTGAAGGCCTTCAGTGATGTCGAACTCTGAACGTAGGCATTTGGCGCACATGTTGGCTGCGTTGGGCTGCATGGGGATGCCGCATTTGCAGCAGAGGACACTGCCGATTGTGTGTGGGACCCTGAACATGCCGTTGTCCTCGTCCATGTCTGAGAAATTTAAGAAATGTGGTTGACGAGGAATAAAAAATAAAAAGAAGACAATTTTAATAGTGGGGAAGAAAAGCTGTTTGATATCTCTGATCAACAGCTAATCTAACAGATAATAAAAGTCTCTTGTAATTCATCTATATCATACATCCATGACACCAATAGGTAAGAAAAGGTAGGTAAGGAAGACAAAAATAAAATAAAAAATAAAAGCACAAACGAACAAACAATTTATTCCTTTCAAACTGAAATGGCGATGCATGGTGTGTACAAGTACATCTATGCATCAAGAATTTTTATCGTTGGCTTAAAAGAGGCGTAATTGATTGGTTGCGGTCCATATGAGAATTGAAATGTAAAGAAGTAAAAAAGAAAATTGTGGATCAAAATTTAGAAGTACAGTAAATGAAAATTTTCCTTGCGGAAGATCAGAAAAATGCAAAAGCGACAATAAGCAAACCACAGGTCCACAACAGCCCAAATACTAGTTTAGTTTCTAGGGAAATATAATTGAAACACCCACCTTTTCCAACAATTATATGTCTATTCTCAGTATCAGCATTTTTCTTTTAATTCACACTAGTAATAAAACAGAGACAACGATGTGGAAGAAAGATATAACAACAGTAGAACTTGATGGATGATGATGAAAGGCAAGTGCACAAAGACAAGACATGGATTTTCTTCAACTGATGCTCATCTGATCACATAAGTAAACAAAGTATCGGTACCGTTTGTTTTTATTTATTTATATTTTTTTCGGGTGAGAAATAAACTGAGATAAAGTAAAATCAGAATCAATAAGGTAGCACTCAGCTTATGAGAACCCTATACGGGAAGCTTCATCTACCCATAAAATCAAGTCAAATTAACTCTCACAAATTCTCTCTCCGTATATCCAGACTCTGCGTATCAACAGCGCGAGGGGCACCTTGCTCGGCCACCCCAATTCCAAGGATTTATTTTGTAAGAAACTGAAAGGGAAGATGAATTAAGGAGAATTAGGAAACCTAATATTACCTCAGATGGGATGCGTGCAGGCGATATGTGGCGGTGCCTGAGCAGATTTTTTACTTCTTTTCCTGTTGCACTTGTAGGCTGCGGGCAACGATAATTGCAAGATATGAATAAAACCAACCCTACTCCCCACCATTGATGTATTTTCATTATTTTGTTGCCTTCATGTTCTAAGTGGGTCCTAACTACATAAATGATAAATTTTATGAGCCCAGCCCAGGAATATGTATCTAAGGCCCATTTTAAATAGGTGTAAATTGTAGAGAAAATTATACACTATACATGATATATCATTTTGAGAAAATTACTCCCTTAACGAGAGCTTCAAAACTTTATTTTAAGAAAACGAAACAGGAAAAACTTCTACACATTTACGAGATATAATTGATTTAAAACAAAATCATGTAGAAAACGGGACCGATAGACCAAAACCTTAAAACTTTTACACCTAACCCCCTCTCTTCTTCCTTTTTCTTTTTTATCATTCTTCCTTCGCGCAGAGAGACCAAAACCCTAAATTGTTTCCCTTTTTTTCTCAAACTCTTTTCATCCACACAACTCAATCCAAAATCGACAGCGACGACCGAGATAGACTGTCCGTGGTTGGCGGGGATCGTGGCTCGACGGCTCGATTGAAGGCGTGGGTAGCCGCCGACAACATTTAGAGGCAGAAGACTTGGCCATATGAAGCAGAAGGAAGAATCGAAGCCAAATCTCCGGCCGACATCCACCGCCATATGAAAGAAGACCTAGCCATACAGATCGGACGATCGCCACTTCACATCCCTCGACGGGTGCTGATCGTGGCCGGTGGACGGCTTGCGATAGGGCGTGGGAAGTAGTCTGCGCCCCCAATCGACGATGCGGTGTTCTGTTCCAGAGGTCGCCGATTGTCACACGGCTGCACAATTGAAGACTCGGCTCAGAGGCATCTGCTCGTCTCCCAATCAGAAGCAACGTCGAAGATGCGCCGGGGCTCGTTGAGGAGATGAAGGGGTGACGTTGGGAGTAGTGAGATCAATCAATCTTGTTTCAGAATTGTTTATATGTTGTTTATCTTATGTATAACTATACGTTTTTCAATAGAGAATTATCAAATTATGTTTATCTGATGTATATAAAATTGTTTATATGCTGTTTATCTTATGTATAACTATACGTTTTGCAATAGAGAATTATCAAATTATGTTTATCTGATGTATATATACAGTATATCTAAACATATATTTGGTCCAATTTATCTTATGTATAACTATACGTTTTTTAATAGAGAATTATCAGATTATGTTTATTTGATGTATATATACAATATAGATAAACATATATTTGGTGGTTGGACGATTTTTTTTTTTCAAATTCACGATGTCGATTAACCGAATTCTACCGAATTTTTTCTATTCTTAATCGGGATCGTAGCTTTTTTTTCAATGAACAACTAGATGGACGATTGTTCTTTGGCAATCCCGTTTCAATTTCCTGAATCCCTAAATTATAGCTATAAGATTTGTTTTTTTTTTCCTTTGTTGCTGCAGTTTTTTAGCCGTAAATAAGGGATGGAGAGAGAAAGTACTAGCTCATCTCGTATATATGTAATAAAAGCCCCATAAAACACCAAGTTTGATGAAAGTTTAATTGGAACGTCTATCTGTAAATATTTATTATGAGGAGTCTACATGTGTAAATTCCCCTATCATTTTTTATTGTAAAATCACCAGATCTTTACAATTAATTGCAAATTACAAGATTTATAAAAAAGGATTAATTTAAATATGCAATTAATATGCGTATTAAATGTAGACTTATCACTTTCCTACCTCTCTCTCTCCCCCTATCACGACACTTTCATTCTCTCTCTCTCTCCCTGTATCTCTTCATTTCCGTCTTCTCTCTCCCTCTCTCTGTTTTTTTTTCCTGATTGGTCTAAGACGGCGACAACGACTTAGATGAGAGGGGTCGGCGGAGCGATGGATTGACAGATCCGCTAGGAGTAAGGAGACATCCTACAAAACCCTCAAGTCCACCATCGACAAGAACCTCCAAAAAGCTCGAGACGATGAAGATGACCGACGCAAACCCCACCACCGCGGCCCTTCTCAAGAAATCGTCCAAGAACAAGAAGATGGACCGCGTAGAGACCTCGCTGAAGGAGTCCAGCCGCGACCTCTCGATGTTCAAGTTCAAATCCAGCGCGCACGAAAAATGAGGAATTTGTTTTTTATTTTTCGGTTGATTATTGTTTTGTTGTTTTCGATATGAAAATTTATATGTTTCAGGTATGAAAATTTTGTACATGATTTATATATTACCATCAGATATGAAAATTTACATGTTGCGGATATATACAGTACATACCAGAGTGTACAACACACATATACATAATAAAATATACATGAAATATGCACTCGAGATTCTTGTAATTCAAGCCAGTGACAGATCGGGACACACATATACATAAAATATACTTTAATTATACACCCGAGTTTTAATCGTTTATCAAAATCGATTTCAGTACCCACATAAACATAAAATATACATAAGATATACACTTCTGCAGACCTGCGACGCCGTAGTTTCGAATGAGGGTGAACAGATTCCTAATTATATCTTTTTTTCCATTTGATATGAGCAGATTCTTATTTATTAGGTTAAATACACTTACCTTATCTTTTAATCCATTTTTTGCTTGATTGTAGGAAGGTTGCGTGATTGTAGGAAGGTGATTAAAAACATAACGGAAGTTTTTGCTTGAGCAACAAACATAAGCGCTAAAAATGGTAACCATGCAATTAAAATCTGGCATCTCGTATTTTTATAATATTTTTAAAATCGTGTGGTATAAATACAAATTACCCTAAATTGTAACAAATTCAGCCCAGATGAACACATTGGAATCAAATCCCACATGGAAAACGCAGCATAAATACTTCTGCTATTTAATTGATCAGTTTTGCACAATCTCACAGGTTGATGAGTTGGAACCGTTTAACCACTGAAACCGCTTCCGGCTCGCCGGTTTTGGACCGGCTCAGACGGTTCCCGAACGGTTTACATGTCTGATGGTTTTAAGCACCAAACTGGAACATTGGTTTAGAAAAACAATAAATGATGCAAAAACATCTTTATTGGTGTGTGCTACCAAGGAAAATTAGGCCGGAACCGGCCTCAAACCGACCTGATATACGGGTAGGGCTGCAAACGAGCCGAGCCGAGTCGAGCATTGGCCTTATCCAGTAGGATTGAATTTTTTTTTAGATGCGAGCTCGAGCTCGATTTATGAGGGCTCGAGCTCGACTCGATAAGAAAATACAATATCGAGCTCGAGCTCGACTCGAAATCAAATGCTCGAGTTCGGCTCGAAAATTTTAAGTGAGATTACCATTAAGTACTTGTGCTACACTATTTAAATATATATATAAGGGATATTTTTAGTAATTTAATATATATATATATATCGAGCCGCTCGACAATACAAAATATGGGCTCGAGCTCTACTCGAGCCGCTCGAGCGAGTTCGGTCAAACTCGAGCTCGATCGAGCTTTGACTCGAGCGCTCGCGAGCGGCTTGTGAGCCGCTCGATTCGTTTGCAGCACTATATACGGGTCATTGAACTGGACCAATGCTAAAGACGAGCTAGTTTTAAGTCTTAATATTTATTTTAAACTTGTCGGTTCCGAGTTGGAAGATGGATCCGAATTTTTTTTTTCCCTAGGCCGGGCCGGGTTGACCGTTGGAGACCCGACAACCAAATTGAATATGGGCAGTCAGATCAATTTGACCGTTGGAAATCCAACTGTCAATTTTTTATTTTATTATTTTTCTTTTTTTAATTTTTAGCAAGTCGGGTCAAAACCCAGTTTTGATACTGACCAAAATGACCGAAAAAATAAACGACGAAATCTGGAAACCAACTGAATCGGATAAAAATTGAACCAATTTTTTTTTTTTTCAGTTATTTCGGTTTTAGTCTTCGCACACACTTAGGGCATGTTTGCATACATAAATATCCACTCAAAATGAATTTTTTCAGTTAATCAGAGTTAATTTTGAAAAATGTGGTATAGTTAGTTGTTAATGATATTTTGATTTTATATTAAAATATTATTTAAAATAAAATATTAATGTTGTTTTAATGCAGTGTTTTAAATATCGTATCGCAGATCATACTGGTCTAGCCACAGGTAAACGGTATTACCGGCCAGACCGATATCGGTTGTATTAACGAACTAGCAAATATAATGATATATATAAATATGTATCCATAGGTACTATATTGGATTTGAATCAGATTTCGGATCAATCTATATTGATTGACTGCCTCCATTATGTTGTTGCTAGCAAATACCACCATTTTTGGTTTTGGATCTTCCAAATCATTCAATGAGATAAAAATAAAACATTTTAAACCAATTTAAATTTTATGTTTTTAAATTAATTATTTTTTTTATTGGCCTGTATTTTAGATCGGTATTTACGGTATGATCCTGGTATAACCGTAAATCTGGTATTTTGTATGTAATTGTACCGTACCAATGGCCGTTATAAACCGGTATAACTGTAAATCTGGTATTTTGTGTGTAGTTGTACCGTTCCAAAAGTTGGTAATTTAAAGTTGATGCGAGTATGAATTGAGTAAGCATTGAGAAATTTCATATACAAACACACCCATATCATTTCACATTTACATCTACTCTAACAGAATCAGGTGGACCGCTGTGATTCGTTGACCGTTGCCGGTTCTCCGGTTTCACCGGTTTTGTGTTCCAACACTCAATACCCCAAATCGGACAGGTATATTGGCCGGTACCCAGTCAAACCAGCCGGTCCGGTCTGGTTTTGACAACCTTGAGAAAGACAGAGGAGAAAAATTATAAAAAAAAATTAAAAAAGGAACCTTTGTGCAAATGCAAGAAGTGTTTGATGCCTGATCGCAGTCATTACTCTCGAGTCCTCATAGAATCTCATAAAATGAGCAACCAAAGCATCAAACACATGGTACGGCAGTGGGTATTTCTTATCAATCAATTACTTTATGAAATAAGTGCCACAATACACACAAAAATATAATATATTAAACAGATCCCGACTGTTCAGCGATTACAAACAGCAGTCCTACAAAATTTTTTTCTAGTGACAGAGATATCATTTGACTAATTACACAGCCCTTGTTAATATCATCTTTCATCTAATTCATAAGTTTCTACTGAAAGCAGAGGAGTAGCGAAGATATGAAACTATCTACACGTTATCACTCACAGAAGACTTAAAGAGTTCTACACAAAATCATTCCTCATTGTATCGTAGTACTCCATCTCTGGCAAGCTTCAACAGTGCAACACTACATTAGAAAAATAGATTAACTCATCCCAATAAAGAGCCGAATTTGCCATTTAGACTTATATAAAGGCTATATTTTGGTAAAACTAGCTGATAAGCTAGCTGATAAGCTAACTTATAATTAATATGTAATTTTTAAGCTTATAGCTTATAACTTATGACTTATAGCTGAAAAAATATAGCTTATATGATAAAAGTGTTTGGTAAAATTAGCTGATAAGCTAGCTGAAATAAAAAAATCAACTAGCTTATTTGAAAAGCTCCTTAAGGTAGCTTATGAGATAAGCTCGAGCTTTTTAAAAAAGCTCGTCCTACCAAACGAGGCTTACTTGAATACAGGAAGCTTATAAGCTAACCAAATAAGCTATAAGCTAGCTTATTTGGCTTACCAAACATAGTTAAAATGAGCACCAAACTATAAAATGAGAAAAGCAAATGACACGAAATTAAAAACAAGACTCAAAAACAAGACTCAAAAATGACCGACACTACAACACAAACAAAGAAACACTAAGCTCCCCACGGGAGAATATGGTACGCTCCCCACGGGAGAATATGGAACGCTCCCCACAGGAGAAGACCCGAACACAGTCGGGCACACACAATACAGGGGCCAACGGCCCAAACCAAAAACACAATACAACAAGGGGCCAACTGCCCATACCTAAAAACACGAATACGAACACCAACACAAACAAACACTGAACAGAAATAAAACTAAAACATCAACAAAACAACTAAGTATAACAAATTAACGCCCTTCCCCAGCAACCGAACGGAATGGTTGAACCAGTTGCTTGACCAATTTGATGACCGTCCGTTTTTCAGAACATTGTTCTAAACGTAAAATTATTCCCCAAACCCCAGATACCGTACCGATGACAGAACAACTAATCACGACTGGCGAGATGGAAGATGATGAAGTGGCGGAAGCCAACAACAATGACACCAATACTAATACAGCGGTGGCGAGGTGCAAGGTTGCTGGCCGGAAGGAGAGGCGGAAGGCGGCGAAGAAGGAGAAGAGGAAGAAAAAGAGGAAGGAGTTGGCGGAGAAGGCGCGCCAAGAGGAGGAAGCACGGCTCAACGACCCCGAGGAGCAGCTGTGGCTCCTAGCCGAGGAGGAGAAGGAAAAGGCGCGAGTCGAGCGAGAACGGAGGGAGTTCGAGGAGAGGGAGAGGAAGATTCTGGAAGAATGGGAGAGAAAAAGAGCTGAGGATCGAAGGGCGGAAGATGAGAGGGGAATGAGAGCTGAGAAAGAAAGGCAGTTCAATGGGAATCAGGTACGTATTCTAGCGCAACATGGATTATTTTAGCTTGACTGACTGGGATTAAGCTGTAATCGTTCATTTATAATGATGTTGAACGAGATTTCTGATGACTCCAATCATACCAGATTCTTGCATATCTTAAGATTATGAGTGTGATATTGGCGCCGTTTGTAGGATTGAAACATTTGGTTAGTTATTAACTTAATGACATGAATTTTAAAAATGATTTTGGTTATGCCCGTTGTTGTGAGGTCTCTTGTTTTTAGACTGCATAAAAAAGAGGCTAGACTTCTGCACAGTCTGAACAGTAACATTTTCAGAAAGATTGAGGTATCATTTTGGTATAGCAGTGATGTGCTTGGTGGAGCTTAATGGAGAGGCAGACAAAATAATGAAATAGGATGCTATGGCTGGCTTTGTTGATACGCTCTTTTAGTTGATCTAATTGTTATCTTGTAATGATGATATGTTACTGTGTGGATTAGGTTCAAGTTGTTCTGGAAAACAATATTGATAGGGAAACTTACGAGCTAATTTCGAATGTCATATCAGCATTGCTTTAGTTGATCCTTGAGCGTCTGATTTGAACTATATCATTTGGTGAAGCCCAGGGTGATTACATTCATTTGATTTTATTGTTTTTTTAACTTCTGTTTTTAAGTTTGTGAAAAATAATGAAGTTGGTTTTATTCTTTTTCTTTTGCCGATAGGGCATTGTTGTTTATGAACTGGTCGCACTTTTCCGACAATGCTCCCTGATAATCTGTTTCTTTATCTTCAGTAGCTGATCTAATATATTGTTGCAATTATCGTGCTCCACTACTGCAAATTTTACTGCTTTGTTGGGATGCCTTGTCTTTTGTATGTCTGCCTGCCTAGAAGTAGCTGAATTAATAGATTAGAAGTTTATATGCGGTTAATCATACAGATTGGGCATGAAAATGATGAAGAAGAAAATGGTTGGGAGTACGTCGAAGAGGGACCTCCTGAAATTATTTGGCAGGGCAATGAAATTATTGTGAAGAAGAAAAGAGTTAGGGTAAAAAGGAAAGACACAGATCACCAGATTGCTAAAGAGGTTTTCACTTTCCTTTACATCTGATTTTTTAGAACATTATCTTATGTTTGTTTCAACTGACTTTTGTTAAAATTCTTAAAATTAGGATCCTAATAGGCCCACTTCAAATCCTCTTCCTCCCCAGTCAGAGGTTTTTGCGGATTATAAGAATACATCAGTTCTTTCAGCTCAACAGCTGTTAGAAAATGTTGCTCAAGAAACTCCTAACTTTGGAACAGAACAGGTAAAAATTTGCTTTCTTATCTACTCCATTTTACTTATACTTTTATGGGAATCAATTATCACACAGTAACAGAGCTTTATTCATGCCTCAAGACCTCTTCTTGTACCCCTCTCTCCTTCCTGGGGAAGTTTTACCTTATTTTCTGTATATGTTTTTGGCAGGATAAATCTCATTGTCCATTCCACCTAAAAACAGGTGCTTGTCGGTTTGGGTCACGTTGCAGCAGGATTCACTTCTATCCTGATAAATCCAGCACTTTGCTTATCAAGAACATGTATAGTGGCCCTGGCTTAGCTTGGGAGCAGGATGAAGGTCTTGAGGTCTGTTAATGAGGTCTTCATGCGACTAGTATCCTGCTTGCACAAAATTACGCAATTTTATGGTTCTAAGTTTCTGATACATTCAACACTAATTGAAATTTTGTTGACCGACCCTTTGAATGAGGTTCACAATATTTTTGCTTGATATTTCAAGGGAAGCAAGAAGAATATAGTTACTTTTCTTTTACTTTCATTGAACTATTTAACAGTTTCACTATATGAAAAACCCAGTTTATGTTTATGTCAGCCATTTTCCTTGAAAATGGCCCTCTCTCCATACGTTATAAAAAATTACCATTAAACTAGCCCATTGCTTACTACACCAATTTCAAACCTCTCTAACTCCTAAGCATCTAGTTTCTTGATCAAATTGAAAATAGTGGAAGGCGAATTACTTGATCCCTTGTACAATTTGCAAATTGGACCAAATTGTTAGGCCGCTGTGCTCATGATCATAATGATAGCCTGTCATGTTGATACCCATCAGTCCATTTTGATGTGTCATTGACCCTTCTACTATTTATTTTTGGGGATTTTATACCTGTCAACAACAGTGAAATAACTGAAAAGCTGAGAACCCTAACTTATATTTATTTAGCATTTTCTTTTTGTTTCAAGCCTGGAATTTTGCTAAGCCAAACAAACTTAGCACTATCAATTATTAACCCTGTAAATACCCATTTTCATACAACTCTATACGAGAATGAGATCATTGTACCTGGCAGTCATGGATTCTGAGGTTCGTAATATACTAGAATGCATAATAGCAAATTCATGTCACAAAGTTTAGCTTGGTACTGCTACACTCACCCTGAACCCTGGGTTACTAGTTATTCTTTTTTCTCTGAGTTTCTGATAACATATTACTTTTTCATCACCTTTTAAGTGCAATCTTCCAGATTCTAATTTGTCGCATGCATCATTTCTTGTTATTATATGTGTGGTGTATGTATATTAAATGATTAATAACTGTAAATGTACATATGTGAGGTGCATGGTACTGGTGCTTCTGAATCTAGTAGAGCAATCAAATGTGTGTGTGGGAGATGTGCGCACTTTGTGTGTGCTTGAGTCTAATGTGTCCTGTTCCCTGCATGCGCATGTACTTGGGTAGACCAAAATCCTTTTGATATATTCCTTATAGTTTTAAGTGTCAACTCCATTTACTTTCCCATGATGGATTTATTTCTTCTCACTTTAAGCATTGTTATTTGCCATGTAACATGTGGTTATTTTCGTTCCTCTGATCTTACTTCTTGTCCATCCTTGTGGCTAGAAAGAAAATGATACGTTGATTCTTCTTGAATACTCTTGCAATTAATTTTGGTTTCTTGGAAATTTTACTTCTGGGCTTGTTATGCTAGCTCATCGGGTTCCTTAACTTCCACTAGTATAATAGGGAGCTCCTTTCTTCCAGATGTTGGGGATCTCATGCCGATAAATATTGTCTCTTAAGGTTTGTTATTGTGGAACCCAGGATCTTTGTCCATCTTTATTAAGAGAGATGGGCTGCATAATCCAGCTGTAACTCCTGTAAGTTCAATCATAAAAGTAGTTGTGTCATGCATAACAATATATTCTATTTATGTTGCATATTATTAGTAAAGACATTGCAAACATTTAAATCCGAGTGCACACTGTCAGAGCAACTGGAGTTTTCTATTTTCTAGTTTCTTCACGAGTACTCAGTGACATGCCTGTGGAAGACTTTTTCTCGCCTGTTAGCATATTATCTTAAAGTGTCCAAAGTGAGAAATGTTCAGTGTCTACTTTAGGGGCAGATGAGAGAGACATCGTGTCTCAGTTCCTTACAGTATGTGCAATTTCCATCCAATATTTCTCTACTATTTGGTTATTTTTAGCAATGCAGTATGATTTTGGTGTTCCTTTTCCACTTCTAAGTACTAGTATCTGCTCTGTCAATCTTTCTGATCACCCATGCATCTACCTTTTTCCCTGTTCCCTTTCTTTTTATTTTTCATGCCTCCCTTGCAAAATTCAGGGACTTAAACTTGATGTTTACCCTTTTTCAAGAAATTTTGCATCTGATTTATGCGCTTTACATTATCCAACTGCTTTACACTATGTGCTAGTTATGCTACAAGAAATAAATTTTTATGAGTAAAATGGGTGTGTTGGTTGTCAGTACTTAAGAGTTGGGTGAATATATACTTGGATAGTTGAACCACACATTAAAATATTGGGCTCGCTGATGCACTTATACCAACACTTTGTTAATTATTCTTGGATAACATCTCTTTCAATATTGATTACTGATGGAAACAGATACATTGGTTAGGCTCTTTATATTATCTATCTGGCGCAACGAAGGCTAACTATGGATGTAAGATGGACCTGTGTAATTCATAAACCATAAAATGTATTTCGATTTAGCCTCCAAACTATTCTTCCTCAGCATGTCCTGATTTACACTTTTTGTGATGAACATAACTCTTTATAAAAAAGGTAGGTTGAGGTTCTGTGAGGTATGTAAGATTACTGTACACTTGTAATCAACATAATTAGTCGTAGAAACCTACGAGGAAGAGATACTTTAATGTAATAGGAGGAAACTTACTCATCTTACATTTGATTAAACTATTTCATTTGTGAAATTGCACACATGATTGTCTGCAGTCTTGCACTTTATTCCTGTGCCCTTTTCTGAAAGTTGACTATGTTCTTGCATCAAGGGTCCCAATTTATGATAATGACTCATAAGACAGATTCTAGTCTCTCTATTTAGTTCAGACCATGGAACAGACAGGTAACTTCTCAATCTTTGTGGTTGGTGAAATTGCTAAACATTAGAGAGGATTGGTTTCTTTGACATAGAAGAATTGTCTTTCCCATTATGTTTGACATGTTCAGGACATGTTCTGTCCAGCATTCTTTCCCTCATTCATGAAGTGTCACGTGTTTTGTACATTTCTATATGGTCAACTCCATTTTCTTTCTTTTCTTTATGCCAGTACACAGATGAAGAGGTTGAGCGTGCTTATGAGGAGTTTTATGAGGATGTACATACAGAATTCTTGAAGTTCGGGGAGATTGTAAATTTTAAGGTAGCCAGTTTACTTTGAAAGAAAGTAGAGCACTACAATCTTTTAATTTTTCTGTTACTAACGTGATTGTTCTTATAATTCTTGGTTTGAGCTTCATACACCATACAGGAGAAGCATTATCAGATTTTAGGATTAGGCTTCCTGTTATTGTAGTCAGTAACTATTCCAAGTGGCCACTTTCAATTCTGTTCATATCTGTTCCAGAAAGTAAATAAAAATTGGTTTTTTTAAACAAGTAGTGTCCTTTACTCTTATTTCCGGACAAATTATTAATCTGATGTACAGCACGGGAAGTAGTTATCCATGCTATTCGTCATATAGAGCATATGGTGGGAAGTAGTTGTTCTATGGTAGCAAATGATTCTTCTTGCGCATTGCACATCTCCAGTTTTCAGCATAATGAATGAATGGCCATGTCTTAGGTGTGCAAAAATGGTTCATCTCATTTGCGAGGAAATGTGTATGTGCACTATAAGACTCTGGACTCTGCTGTACTTGCTTATCAATCAGTAAACGGCCGTTATTTTGCCGGTAAACAGGTATTTCCTCCTTTCATGCTGATCAAATTTTTGGTCGTCTAATTGTAATGATGAATATTAGTTTTCTTGAAAATACGTCTGCATCTGTTCCCCTCATTATTTATGTGTACAGGAGTTTAATCATTAATTTTCTGGATTGTAGATATTTTTGCTTTTTTTAGTTGAAGAATATGGGACTTGAAACCTCCATTCTTTGGCAGAATGATGGGAAGCTATGTAATATACATCAGCATAACTCGCATTACAAAATGTCTGCTCTCCGCACAACAAAATATGTGAAAGTTTAACATAACAAGAGGTTCATTTTCTGCAGTGAATAAACAGTTTAAATTGAACTATCAGACCTTTAAGCACTCTTGCTTAATGAATGTGGTTAGGAATAATTAGCTTCACTCTGGGTGAGCAAACTGACTGAAAAATATTAAATTCCCAATTTTGGACTACCTAGAATAGTTCTAGACCAATATAGATAGAACAAGATAAACTTCAGATATGTATATTTCCATGTGCATATTATTGAAACTGAACAGATTCCATTTCATAAATCACAATTTCTTTAATAGGCACTGAGTGACATTATAATACAGCATGAAAGAAAGGTCCAAAAAGATTTTCTAGGTTTTGAAAATACGTGGTGTGAAGATTGACACTCTGCTCCTAGACAAATCCTCTTTATAAATATACTACCTTGGTTTGTCTTTCTCAATAGTTTGGACCTCTATGAAATTCCTTCAACTACATAATGTTGATATCAATAATTTACTAATTTTGAATCACAAGAAAGAAAAGATAATGAAGGCCAAACCAGTACGCTCTTGATCTCTCCGTATACCGGGATGTCTAATCTAACGTGTACTTGAACTAATGTGCATGTACCATCAGGACTGAAGTGGGATTTAGGGGAGGTGCCATGGCCTTGTGTTCTCCTAGATTTGCTCCAATAGATTAGATAGAGAGAGCAAGGCTATGTAACCAAATATCCAAGACGGTTGAATCAGGATGATGTCTGGTGGGTAGTTGTCATTACTTGCTATTAGGATTTATTTGTCTTGAGACTGCGAATAAATTGATGCAATCAACACATGTCATGGGCATAAGTTGTCATCCTATTGTGTATGTGAAATCAACTCAACACATTTTGTTGAAGTGGCACCCCGTATGATTGAAAATGGAAACAAAATTGAGCCTGCAGTCTGTTGCTAATAATAACTAAGTATTCTTCTGGTATGTTTGCTTCAATTTTTCATGGGTAAGCATGCTTCAGATTATCTGACTGCTGCTATAGTGTGCATGTGTGATAGAAGTATTGGCCTAGTAAATTGCTGCCTAATTTTGGCGATGCTTGACTGATATAGTGATCACAGGTTCAATGCGAGTTTGTCGGGGTAACTAGATGGAAGGTTGCTATATGTGGAGAATTTATGAAATCAAAGCTCCAGGTATATTATATTTTTTTTATACATTATTCTTTTCGTTCTTGTTCATCCACCACCTCCCAAAGAGTCACAAATTAGTGAATTACATATATACGCCCTCTTTATGCTGATATTACATATATTGCCCACGTCCTCATGTATTACACGTTAATTCTTCCCAGACATGTTCCCGTGGAAAGACCTGCAATTTTATTCACTGTTTCCGGAATCCTGGAGGAGACTATGAATGGGCCGATTGGGATAAACCAGCTCCAAAATACTGGCTGAGAAAGATGGCTGCTTTGTTTGGTTATCCTGATGAATCTGGAAATGAAAAACAGATTGAGCAAAGTCCAAGGTTGTTCAGGAAATCCAGTCGGACATCTCCAGATGATGCTGACAGGTGAGCTCAAGTTGCTTATTATGGTTTATATCATGTCATTATGATGAGAACCTGATCACTATAGGTTTATCCTAGCCCTACCCCATAAGTGAGGAGAAAAGAAGAATGGATGAGAGCACATTTTGCTTAGATATTTTCAACACGTTTTCTTTTCTTCATTTTTTTTTTTTTTTTTTTTTTTTNCTGGTGGGCCGAAGTTGCTTTGTGGTGGTTTGACTTGATAGAGAAAAGGGTAAAACCACAATCACAGAGAGAAACATTTATAAGTACCACCAGGATTATGACATGACTTGAAGTCAACACGTTAGATAGCAGAACTTTTTCTGACAAACTTGAGTACTTTTTTTTTGAAAATATTCCTGCTCAAATAATTGTTCCTAGGTTTCTTCCCATCAAAGCAGGGCGTTTGTATATATGGTATTGCGACTTCCACGTTGGGTTAATTTTTGGTGAAAATTTTAGTTTTCTATCCTTCAAATCAGATTTACCAACTTTCTGAAACTTGTGAACGGAGAACATGACATGTGTCAATTAAAAAAGCTCCTTGTGGATGTCCTTGACCTAGTTAGTGATCCCAAAATCCATGCAGCCTAAAACAGGGGCTGTTGGTTTCCCCTATGATGAAGTTAGTGAAAAGCCTACTGGGTCACGACTTACCTTCGGAAGCTTTAATTCTACAGTCAAAAGTCATTGATGTTCTCTTATTCCATGCAAAGCTTTAATTCTACCATCAAAAGTCATTTGACGTTCTCTTATTCCATGCAATTTTTTGTGGCAGATATAACTCTCGTAGATCTCGATCACGTGAGATTGGTCACACTAGAAGTTCAAGAAATTACTCAGAGGATTACTCTCGGAGTAGTAAACGCCAAAGGCGACTCACAACTGCCGACAGAAAGCATCCGGAACTTCCCGATTCATCAAATCCTAAAGAGAAGCAGCAGAACAGCAAGAATGGAAAATCGGGATCTCAAAATGGGAATTTCAATCGGGTAAGCATACACGAGACTGACTTTGATGAAAATATGCATTTCGACAGAGACAAAGACGACTATGGACACAGACATTCAAGTAGGAACACAAGGCACAAGAACAAAGTGTCTACATTCTCGGATGACCGCTGGTCGGATGATGATAAGAGAGAAAGCGCACATACTCACAAGAAGCGATCTCTGATGGCCGATGGCTCTGAGGAATCTGAAGATAATAATTCCAGCCGACGAGGCAGCCGTAGATCAAAGCACTCGAGCAGTAGAGATCGTTTGGGCAGAAGGCATGGGGAAGATGAGAATGACAGCAGAAAATTTGGAAACTCCTGTAGAAGCAATAGATCTTCTGATTCTAAATCAAGATCTGGAAAAGATGGTGTTAAAAAATTGGAATGCGGTCAATCAAAAAGAAAGAGAGATTACGTGTCTGACTGTGACACGGCTAGTGATGTTAGGGGCCGTTGGGAACCCAATATAAGCGACTAGGGAGGGTCGAAGAACTTGAGTACTGATGAGGTTTTTTTACCTAGCACGGA